GGAGCACAGGACAAAATTCCCTGTATGCTACTGGTTTAACAGAACTAGGCTCTATTTACAAAAAGGATCCTAAGCTTCATTGACGTCCTAATGAAATCTGTGTTCGGTCTGTTTGCAATGTGAGATCGCACTGAGGAGCTGGTTTGTTGCTAGCTATCATCCAACATAAAAAAATATGTATATGTGCATGTAGATGCACACAGCGAGTTTTTATGTGCTGATATATAAATATATATGTGTGTGTGCTCAGGATACCTGTGTAGAGATTTTGTCAGAGCAAAAACTATGGATCCTGGATTTCTGCTCAAAATATGTTGAAACTTCTGAGAAAGAAACTCTCAAAAATAAGGCTTTGAAAGAGGAATATATCAGTTTAATGTGCTGTTGAATGCAAGAGATCTATTTCACCTTGTAAACCTATGTAAAAATAAAACACGAGAGACCTGACTGGTAACCTCTTAATGTTTTTAAATTGGTATTCACTAAAATATCGGTGCTTCATTATCATAAATATCACAGCTGTGTGAAAACCTCATGTATATGGCCCATCATAACAGGGAGGTGGGCTGCTCTGAAGCAGTGAATCCCAGGGAACTTGAGGTTTTTTACTGAGGTCTACTAAGGGTAACGTTTCTGAGCACCGCTTCCATTTCCCATCATTACAGTAATAGACTTGGGAGCCTACACAAGAATCCTTTTTCCAACAGTTGCCACAATGATGATAAAATCAATGCACGTAGGTGAGCTGGAGATAGATATTAGCATTTATGAATCTAGTTGGTGGGCAAAAATACTCCATACAAGTCTCTTGAAGCAGAGCTTACTCACAGAATGGAGTGAAAGCTGAGTACAGGAGGCTGCAAATGAGCAGAGGGCGGTGAATGGCATGCATGTTGTCTTTCATTGGGAGATGCTTGGCAGTATTTTCATTTTGCTTGCATGGAGTTTTGGAGCCTGTCTCATACCATATGGCATATTAAGCACAATAAAGATGTTCATTTGGCAGCTGGAGCATGACTAGGAACATCAGAAGAGTCATATATGCATCAATAAATGAAGAACTCTGCCTTCGTGTAAATAAATGTTAGATCACTGCTTTAATTGCCCATTGAGTTCTTGACAATAAGACACAACCACTTTGTAGTCATGTCTGCATTAGCATTTCCCACACTTTAGACTGGGAGTGCAGCTGAATCTCTTCATCTTCTGCGCTTCTGTAGCACCTTGAACACCAGACATGAACGATTCTGCTGAGCTCTCTGTAAATACTCCACAAACAATTGGGGCCACCCTGAAGAGCTGCAGTCTAATTAAGCTCCTTAAGCTGTGACTGTGCAAGTGTGTGCAAGAGGGCAGGGAAGGTTTTAATATCTGTGGACCCTCTCAGCAGGCTTCTGTTTGATCCTGTTATGCTACAGCTGAGTGATATGAATAACTTCAGCTTTATATTAACGTTGATACTGCCTATTTTCTTCTGCCTTCCATCTCACAACTTATCTCACACCTTATCTTTTGGTGACCGATGCATGAACATCATGATTACATCATCCTGATTACATAACACACATAGCTTTTATTAGCTTTCCATAGCTTTTATTTTGCTTGACTGAAGCCAAGAAGTAGGCCTAGCGTTAATGCACAGGAAAATGAATGGAATCCAAGACCTCTATGTCTAGAAAAGGCTTCCAGATGCCACCCATTCCATCGTTTTCCTCTGAAGCAGGATCAGGTACCGAGATTGATCTTGAGTGACTTTTGGATTAACCTTCTGTTTGATTAAACCTTGTTAAAACCCTGCAATGCTGGATATTCAGCCTGACCTTTGCAGTAAGCTACTTCTGTAGCGAGAAAGCTTTCTGTAATACCTGCCTGAGCCTTTCCTTAACCCGTGGCATCAAACCCTCCTGTAGCCTCTCACAGACTGATTAGTTCATGTTTGATCTCGGTGGATGTGAGGAGTAGTTAGTAATCACTTCTTAAACTTTTACACAGAAATTTGTATAAGGATTTTTTTTGAAGAGTTTCAGCAGTCTGTAAGCTTGTTTAAGAGTTACAACATACAGTGCTCCAGGCAGTAGGGTAAATACGAGCAAGTTGATGAAGATGAAACTCCTCAAGGTGTCCCAGGTGAAACTTGGGCTGTGTGAGAGCCGTTCTCCCAGTGCTGTAAATTTTGGGTGTCTGCTCTGCAATTTCCTCCAAAGCAATCTGAGTTTAAGGAAGCAAATGTTCCCAAGAGGGGTCATTGGAAGTGCCTGGGAATATAACTGGGATTTTGTGAGTAGTTTGCTGGTCTTTCAAATGCGAGAGGTATGGCAGTTCTGAGAAAGTTCAGATTTACCCCTAACTTCAGGCTATTGATTTTATCTAAAGCTACGCTTATCATCAACTCTTAACAATTTACTTGGGTTTCTTCTCCATTGGCCCTTGGTCTGAGTAATCTTCAGTGTTCTCTATCCATATGATCACTTCATCTCCTTCCACCCACTTCTAATTTCTCTCCTACCTATCAGTAGTTCTCAGAGCCTTTTCATTTTCTTTCCCTCTCCTTGCTATTAACCTTGTCAAACACTCTTGTTTCAGTGGTGGAATTGGGAATTGAAAGCATCAGTGCTTTTGGATAAGATATGGTAAGAAAACAGTTTCCCTCTTTCAAGCAACTCCACTTCTGCCCCTGGAAGAAGTACAGTTTCAGAAGTACAAGGTGGAGGGGAGTGTATCTTGGCTGGTGACAATCCACCTCTGAACCCCCGCTTTTGTTATTAAAAGATTGCTTCATCATATTCATTAGGCTTCACTTCTTTTTTGACATTACTGAGAGCCTTTTTATTCCTGATATGATTAATTGTCAGAGAGTGGGATGCCAAATTTTTCCAGGTGTCACGTATTAACAGACTAGTAGGTCACCAGCACATTTTTATTATGAGAAGGACATGTGTGTGCGATAAAGCAACTTGTTTAGTTGTTTTTTACAGGTCGGGAAAAATGTTAAAGGGTAATTCACTCATAATTCATCAAGACTGTAATCTATACAGTGATAAGAATAGAGAATTTCGGCTTCCCACATTAGTGGTGGCAGGGAAATTTTATCTTTTTGCGGGCTGATAGCTTTAAGAGTTTGTAGTGAATCTGTTAAAATGCCTGTCATAGCAGCAGCATAAATTGCAACGGGTGGTTTTATCCTAGAGTGGCTCATTAATACAGAACGGTACATCAAATTGCTACCGTGACTGCAAAAAGTCTCTCCGTGGGCATTACCTGGTCTCAGCACCCAGTCAAGGCCATTAGGCCAGTGTGGACACTGGTGCAGACTGCAGTCGTGCAGACTTAGCATTGTAAAATTGTTTCAAAGTGCTCTTGCTCCGAAATTCTGCTTTCTTCCATTTATGGCAGTGTAAGATATTGCAGGCAGGGGTCTGTGATAGGTCGGATTCGGATAGATTTGTCCGTAGGGACTGCAGTAGCTGTGGGGAAAGACAGCTTTTTGTTTACTTTTTCATTTCTAATCCTTTTTGCTTTCAACAAGATTCAGTGAAATGGCAAATGTGTGGATGAAATTCTGCTTTGCTGTCCCCCTGTGAGTCCAAGGGTAGTGCTCTTACCCTTGAGTAAATTGAAGGAATGGGAGCAGGATTTAGCATCTAAGCAAGCTTGAAACTTCTGCAGAAGTAGATCTGGCAGGTACTTGGATAATTTTTGTGCAAGAAACTACAGAGGCCAAAATTTAGCTACTTCTCAGCATGATGATAGATGGGTATGACTGTAGGCTCAGAGCTTGATGTTCTTTTTAAATCCTGCTTCAGCTTCCTAATTCCTTTGTGGATGTGGCTATGTCTTGTGTACATCCTTCCATGCAGGTTTTGAATTCTTTTTTTCTGTGTTTTTTTGCTTTTGCTTAATTTTTATTTTAACTTTTCTCATCATTGTGCATCATAGAATGAAACTCTATTTGAAATCTGGATCTGGCAGTAGTTCTCCCCCCTCAATGATTCTTAAGCTTTGGGATTCATTCCCAGCGAAGGTCCAGAAAGAAGAGATTTCCATGAGGTGTTCTTGCAGCTCAGCTTCCAATTGACATGTCTGGAAAGAAATATGAAAATTGGTTTGGCTCAGAGGCATCATGATGAGAGGATCTTTATGGAATTTCCCAGCAGTGCTTTGCAGCCTGCCCCACTATTGGGAATGTGGTTTTATTTTTTTTTTTTTGACCTTTGAAAAGAACCGAATCCAACAGGATAATGTACACAATGAATTTAAACAATTACAGACAGTGCTTTATTTTCAGTAAAATGTCTTGTCTTTGGTTGTCTGTAGTTTTTCTCAGATGTTAGAGCTTGAGGTGATGAAGGCCACTGTGCAGCTGAGCATCATGATGCAGCGTGCGATTTCCGCAGCATGCAAAGGCTGGGGTACATGTCAGTCCCCCTAGGTCTTTAAAAACAAAACTAGCAATGGCATAAATCTGTAATGACTGAGAGTATTTTAAATCTTCCAAGTAAAACAGGCTTATTTGCCTTATTGTTGTTGTTTAATGACCAGAGCTTAAAATCCCTTGTTATACTGATAGAGTGTGTAATGCAGTATGTCAATTCAGATATTTAATGATAAATACTATAGTTTAATTCTTATTGTATAGTATTCTTTCAATGCAATATGAAGTAGAATATTTTATAAACAACCAGCTCCAAGAATGATCTGAAAACCTACTTTGTCAGCTGAAAACATTTTGAGATCTTTTTTGAGATCTTGAGATCAGACTTTTGAGTAAGTTCTTTCTTATTAATTAGCATGTTCAAAAACTCTTCATCCGTGTGAAACTGTATATTTATAAGATTGTCTGTGAAATTATAGGCAAAGAGATGAAAACTTCTTTGAAAGGTTTCTGTCTCAAATTGGAGCCATTTTTTGCTGACGTCTCTAGAAGAAAACACTATCATAAAAGTCTTTTAAGTCTATGTTCCAAAGTGGATGCTTAAACTGGTTTCCTCTGTTTCTTCCAGTGGTGTTTGATGACTGCCAGGGGAACAGCAAATTGAACTTTGAAGTTTCTAACCCGGACTTCAAGGTGGAAAGAGACGGCTCTTTATTTGCGCTCAGGAACGTGTCGGACGTGGGCAGAGCCCTGTTCGTGCACGCGCGGACTGAACGCGCTGAGGACATGGCAGAAATTTTGATCGTTGGCGCCGATGAAAAGCGCACTGCGTTAAAGGTAAGAGAAATGGAAGGGACGAGAAGGAAGTGCCGGGGAGATGCTGCTGTGTGGCTAAGTGTCAGCTAGGACTGTAAATGGTTTCAGTTTCTTGCCGGGAACCAAAATCAGGCGTTAAAAAATGTAATATATCTTCAGGTGTAAATGTTGAATATTCACAAAGAATTGATTCAAATGAAAGAGCCTGAGGACCTAAATCACCCGATCCTACTTGTATATGTTATTCCAGATGACCATTTCTTGGCCATTTTTGAAAACTGCAGTGTCTTACTTGAAATACCGTTTGTGTTTCCCAATTTAGGATTTCCCAAACCTTTATGTTAAGTCTAGGAGGAACGTGGGAATGTTTTTGAGGCTGTGGAGCGTAAATATTTATATAGATGTGCTTATATGGTGCCATTAGCTATTAAAGCACACAAACATCTGCAGGCAGTTAGTGACCCATATTTGCAGCCTGTTGGTCTGTCGGTGTCTCCGCTGCAGTGATTTTCTGTTCTTCTCTTCCCCCTGAATGCTACGTCCTTTCTTTTCAACTTCAGAATTACAGTGTAATGATAACCTCATAGAATGGGGAAAAGTGCTTCGCAAATAGATTGAAATGTTTGCTTCACACCCATGAGAGCAACAAAAGGCAACCGGAGATAGCCTTCATTTTTGTGCTATGGCATTTAGGAAGGAGGCAGGCAAGACAGTGACTTACTAGACAATTAAATCTGCTACGTTTACAGACCTATAATTTCAAGGAAATAGAAAGAAGCTATAATGAGAATGACTGATCTGTTGTCTTATTTGGGTATTTAGGCTTTCATCTGGCAATCCTGTCGTATTTTCAACAATAGCTTAGTGTAACTTAAGTTATCCATTAAAAAATTCTAGCTTTAGGGAAAGGATTTGAACAAACTTCTCAAAGCCTGTGGTAGAGGGAAGGTTTTGATCTGCACTTCAAGCAACACAAGATGTGAATATAGATTGCCAGCGGGGAAGAATTACCAGAATGTGTGCCTGTGCAGAGAGCTGATCAGAATGCTTAGATAGAGTTTAATTTTATTTAAATATGCCATTTCTTTGCAAAGTTCAATTTTAACAAAGTCATACTTGAGAGAGTCTCTTACACCGTGGAGAGGTGGATTTGGGACCGCGTGCTGCTGAATGCAGAGCAGAAGGACTGTGCTTGGTGGAGCGTGGTGCTTGGTTCTCCCGTGGCTCCAGCTGGTGAGACGTGTTCCCTTTGGTGTGGTCACGGGAAGGGTCTCATGATTTTGTTTCCACTCTAGCTTTCAAAAGCTTGAATGCTTGGAAAAGAGAATTTGTGTTCCCCAGTTAGGAACTACTGAAATTATGGAGGAGTTTGGGATGTCACTGACAGCAGATGTGGAGTTTCTCCATGGCAATCTCATTCTCATTCTTGTTTTCTTAGAGAAGCAGCCCTTCCCATCCCATCTTCAATGGGGAGTTTTATATAAAAAATTACAATCTGGGAGAGAACTTAAACTTCTGAGTAGGAATTAACAGATATGTCTTTGCACTGTCTACCTAGCTTTATCAGTGAGCTTTCTTCTTCGCCGTGTGTTCAGGTTCTCTGTAGCTTCTCCTTAAAATATTGCAACAAATAATTAATTAATGCCCAGTGTTGAATGTTATCACCAGACTCCCTTCATGACCTTTGGTGTCCGTAATGCAACTGGTGCATTACAGTGTGCTGGGAAATCAGTGTACTTCACGGCACTGATCATCTCCTTCCTCGGGGATCGTTGAAGGTCCTTGAGGTCCTTTTCCAACCAGGCTGCCGTCCATGCCGTATAGCTGTTAAAGGGATTCACCATCCATTTCAGCTACTGTTTGTTCATTTTAAACATAGTAGAGTTCTGTCTTTGTCTTAGAACTTAGAAGGACAGAAAGATTACAGTGTCCTATCTGAAATTATTTTATGATAAATTTGAACTTAATTCTAACTTTTACAGTCTGGAAGTGTCAGCATGGAAATAACAAAACTGCTCCATCTGTTTATGCAAGGAATCTTGGTTAAGAAATGCTCGGATGGAGCCTTAGTATTTCCGTGTAATTCTGCAGGGTGAAGATGAGCACGCTCTGGAACGCTGCTTAGCATTCAGGGCTTAGAGTATGGTACCCTATGTAATTAGAGGATAATAAGGAGTTCTTAACTATTTCCCTATTGCCAGCAACTGCCGTTTCTTTCCTGAAAGTCTGTAACCTACATCTGTGAAATCCTATTGTTAATGTTTCTAATTGCAGTTTCCCAATGTGTTTGGAAGTGACTGACAACAACAGCCTCTAATGCTGACTGACAGCCAGCATAACCTCAGCTCTGAGCCTGGGGAGACATAGCGTAATTCCTGGAACTTTAAAGGGCAATTGCTCCCAACCGTATTTTAGATAGACATTGGAAATGCTTAGAAGTGAAATCTGGAGTGTGCAGTATGGTTTTGGTGCTCTAATGGTTGAGGCACGTGCTTTTTTACCGGTGAAGATGCAGAAAGATTCCAGCAGGTCTTGCTGATGGGACCTAAGTGATTACTTGAATGGCCTTCACGGCCGTAACAGGTTAGTGGCTGCTAGAACAGCACATTTTTGTTTAAGTCTGCTCCTGGAGTACAGCTAACACTTGTTCTTGCCCTTGCCAGAGACATGCGGGTGCTGCAGAGCCCATTGCAGGGCGGCCTTGACTGTGATGTGGGTAGGTGGGTTTTTAGCATCATCAGCCAACGTGTCCTTTGCTGTCTGGCTGCAGAACGGGGTTGGTGACAGAAAAGCAGATATCACACTACTGCCTTTTCCATGTCTGATGTTTAACCACTGTTAAAACCATGAGTGCCTGGAGTACTTGCACGTGTCAGTAGGTGCTGAGAACATCAGTCTGTAGGCACTTCAGTCTGCAGTTAGATTCTCTGGCCATCTGAACAGTGCGTAACCCGGAGGAGGAAACAGACTTGCCCTGCTTTCCTTGCTTATCTTTGCAGGAGTAGTAAGAAAACCAGAATCTGGAAATTTTCAACATATCTGAGTATTGTAGGAGTCTGATACTGTGGATGGAAGTATAACCAAGCTTTGGTAGTGCCTCGTAATAGCTTGTGATGTGCAAAATGCAGCAAGTGAGCAGGGGACTGGAGCTATGTCCTCCAAGGCTGAACAAAATTATTGTTGGCCCTTTTCCCCTCCTGTAACCTGATGGTGGTTTTAATAAGTATACTGTCAGTACATGGGAAACTAAATGAAAAAAGTAGAGAACAATCTTCTCCTGCAGACAGGCTTTTTGTGCATTGGCAAATCCAGCCCTTTCCCTCTCCTCCCCAGTGAAGAGAGTTATTTAGACCTTTATTTGCTGCAGCATCACAGGCACCGAGGAGAGGAGGGAAAAGAGAGGCGAGATAGCAGGAGCCGGGCACCGAGGCTGATAAGAGGGCAGGCAGATATTGAGAAATGCCCGGCTGGCGGCGACCTCGCAGCGTGGTGCTCAGCAGCCTTCCATCCAGGAGGATGAAATGATTAAACAGGAGCTGTCAAACTCTCGGGACACTTTTCAGGCACTAGATGGGGAAGGAAAAGGAGAAAGAAAAGAAGAGATAAGAGGGAGGAGCACACCTTGAGACAGCGTGTTGTGGACACAAAGTTTAAAATTGTCTCTCTCAATAACTCGAGATGTGGGAAATGACATTGCTGCTGTCCTGCTATTCAGGCCAGTGCAATCTGCTCATTACTTTGGGGACGTGAGCAGCAGTCTGGCCTGTACCATCCCTAGATCCTTATCAGACCCAAGTTCCCTTTTCTGCCAAGTTGCTGCCTTGCTGGGGACAGTTGTGCATGTCATTTCCAATCCGCAAAGTATCCGAACTATCAACAAGTAAGGAAACTAAGCTCCTTGGATTTAAATGTTATATTTCTTGTTTGTGATCTGCTTTGCTCTATCCCCGCAGTATATAGGTTGCAAATCTTACTGATATAAGATTAAAAACTGCCTAGAGCTTTAAATCCCCTAAACATAGCTTTCTGCTTTAGAATAGATGATAAAGGATCAATAATCTTGTAATGAATCAGAGTTCTCTCGCAGAAAAAAATATTCATGCAAGGAAGTGAATGGTTAAGTTTAGATATCTGGCAGTTTAATAATTTATTTGGAAAATGAAATCAAGAATCAGCCTCTCTGATACAGCAAACAATCACTTCCATTAATGTAAATTAGCATTTTTCAGTGTATCAGTTTGGAATGGAGTTCCAAATGGATTGAAAATGACTGTACGGGAGTATGAAGATGGACTCGCAGATGAGATATTGGCAAACAGGCTAGAAGAGTTTTGTGTTATTACATTTCGCATACACCAGATGCTCAAAAAAGGGAATGTACTGCATAAATAAAAGACCATGTTTTGCATTTAATTTTAAGGCATAAAATAGAGTAAGTCACAGGGGTACATCAATATATGTAATGCAGTTATTATGAGTTATTATACTGATCAAAACAGTATGTACAATACAACTGCTTTCAGAAAAGCTGTGGAGATATTTTCCCTTTGAACATGAGGGTGTCCTGTAGGCATATAAACATAGATTTCCTAAAAGTGCAAACAAAAATTCATTTTTGCACTCTGGCACTCGGTTTGTCAGAAAACTTAAACAGAATAACTTTTCCCTATTATGCATGAAATAGCACACTTATTACTTCTCCTGCTTGTGTTCTTCATGATACATATTGGCTTGGACTTTGTGCATAAAGAAGCTGAAGTATAAGTGTTTTTAGAATTTGGTACCTTTGTGCTGATGGTGTGTCATTAAATGGCTTTCCCTGGTTTAATCAGCAGTGGAGGGTTGCAAGTGATTTCTTTTTCTCTTTCCCTCCCCACAATGCTATATTGCAGCTTTCACAGACCACGTCTTAAACTCGCTGAAAGCATGAGCTTTTTCTCATCAATGGGTCATTCTGTCACATCATTTAGCTGCCTTTTTTCCTGCTTAAATTTTTATAAAAATCCTCTGTGTCGTCCAGG